TTTTCGGATGTCCCTGACCAGTCTCGATAAAATGTTTATATCTTGGTGTAGGAAAATCCGTTTAAGGCGCCGTCAGTGGTATTTGAAACTAGAATCATAGGCCTTTGACCTATAGAGATTTCGTATTTTTCCTCCATGTGTATCGCTGTCTGTGAATGTTTAAAGTAGACTGTTTTGCATGAATATCCTGTTTCTTTGAGAAACTAAACTTGAATTTGGATTGAGATTTTATCTTACTTGTGGTTCAAATTCTTGATTCAATTGTAGTTGGAAGTAACTAATGTCGTCAAGGGCCAATGATTGATGAAGCCCTTGGCCATTTGAATGACTTTATAAGTACCACGGTGTGATGAAAGTGAATTGCTGGAATGTCTTGGAAGCTTTACTTTTACTTTTACTTGCTTATGTTGGGTTTGCTGAGACCAAGTGCTAATGATTGATGAAGCCTTGGTTGATCATGTTAGTTTATTCGGAAATGCACTTGTTGAAATTTAAGGCTAATGATTGACGAAGTCCTAGTAATTTGTTATGTGATTTTTACCACATTTTGATTCATATTATGATTTCGAAACAGAATCGGAGCTGTGGAAGTTGTATCGACTTAGCGAACTCGAGTAACTGTGGTCAAATTAATCAAAAATATTTTTCCAGCTAGTATTATATTATAAAACTCCATATCTAGTGCTTTGCCTAAAAATTTTCCAACTCGATAATTTCCTTTAGCTCAAACTAGCCTTGATAGCTATAGTAAATAAGTTCTATAGCTTTTGAAAACTTTAAGTCTTATTTTAACTCCTTTTCTTTCCTTAAGCTTTGCACTTGGATAGTTAACTATAGGAAAAGTTCCAAAATACGAGTTTTACTAATTTTAGTGAAAAGCTTGAGAAACTTACTCGGCAAGAAACCTTATTTTTAGGTAAAATAGTTTAGTAATAATTTTGCAAAAACCATAGCTTTAAAGAAATGTTCAAAGTAACTTCCTAACGTGGATATTAGGAGATTTGTCGATTTATTTCAAGAAAGTAATACAAGTTATTTTTTTCAGGAAAAGTATCTTAATGAAAACTATAGGAAACAATCCTTCTACTTTGTCACGTATTAACCCAAGGGACTCTTGATTTCCTAAGGGAAAGTGAATTAGTAGTATGTAATTATACCTCAATGTCTATAAGCTTAAAAACGGAGTAAAAACTTATAGTTTCAATATTTGTTATTTTAGGGTATCGTGAGGAAGTGGAACTCGAATCCCAATTTGACATCTGAACTTCACTCTTGGTGAGTGTCCCTGTTTGTTCTATTCTTACATGATTAAGTGCTTCCTTGAATTTAAGTGTGATAATCGCAAAAATTGGTTTTGATCCATCGAAGTGAGCGGTGTGTACTTTACCACACTAGTCGTTCGAGTGGTGACTTGTGTAAAGCATTTTTTTTGTGAATCCAAGTGCTTGACGTAAAGTCGTTGGGTGAATCCCTCGACGAGTCAATAATAATAAATCAAGTGCTAGACGTAAAGTCGTTGGGTGAATCCCTCGACGAGTCAATAAGAGTAAATCAAGTGCTAGACGTAAAGTCGTTGGGTGAATCCCTCGACGAGTCAATAATAATAAATCAAGTGCTAGACGTAAAGTCGTTGGGTGAATCCCTCGACGAGTCAATAAGAGTAAATCAAGTGCTAGACGTAAAGTCGTTGGGTGAATCCCTCGACGAGTCAATAATAATAAATCAAGTGCTAGACGTAAAGTCGTTGGGTGAATCCCTCGACGAGTCAATAATAGTAAATCAAGTGCTAGACGTAAAGTCGTTGGGTGAATCCCTCGACGAGTCAATAAGAGTAAATCAAGTGCTAGACGTAAAGTCGTTGGGTGAATCCCTCGACGAGTCAATAATAATAATGTAAGTTCAGGACGTAACGTCGTTGGGTGAATCCCTCGACCAGTCTAAGGTACACTTGGGTATTATCGCCTTCCTATTTGTATACTTCAGTCGAATCAATACGTGCTAATTGTTTTAATTGATTGCATGTTTTTGGGGCACCACTGAGCTTTAGCTCACCCCACGTTTAATTGTTTTCCTTGACAGGTCTTGAAGTTTGAGAAATCTGAGCAGTGCTGATTTCTTTTAATTTGTACTTGAATCTTAAGACTGCAGTTTACCGTTGTATTGTATTGTGAATTGAAAAACGTATTGGTTATTTTGGATTGCCACTTGAAGCTGGAAAATGTTTAAACCCTAATTATTATGTTTGGCTTGTATGGTTGTAATCGTGGTGTGTGACAGTATATATCCGGATTGGTACGACCTTATACCTTAGAGGTAACGCGTGAGATGTATAAGAGCCGTCGACTGGCTATCTTCTTTACTGCTATCTCTGAAGTTAATGTAGATTTAAGGATGATCCTATCTGGGAAAAGTTGTTTTGTAACAGATTAGGTTATTCTTCGGAAGGATCCGGGTTAGTGTGCGTGCGTGAGTCCTGGCGAGAGCTGGGCAGACGGCCCGCCAACCCTCTGGTTCGCCTTAGGGGGAAGTGGGGTCGTCACAGAGTGGAGTAATACTTTCAAAACTTCCCAAGTCGCACAAAATATTGAGTCAATAGCAAGTTCTGTCTTGCCGCACTTTCACTGAAAATTCTGTCCAAGTTGTCGCCTCATTGTTTGTGCATGATAATTGTTCAGCAGCTTGCTATCTTATTGTTCTCGTGATTGAGTCCAATCTGAGTCAAAAAAAAAAAAACCCATCAACACAAGCCGCACTTAAACCCGGACAGACCTGGGAAATTCTGCCCAACGAAGCCTGTGTTCATTTGAAGTTGCTGTTGCGCCAAAAAAAAAAAAACGAACCCAGCAGCCAGAGGAACGTTTGTATCTTAGTTATGGTGCAATCCTAGAGCACTTGGGAAGAGGAATATGGTCGGCTGAACATTTAGAAAAGAAAAGAAACAAAAATAAAAGGAAAGAGAAACAGCCGCTGAGGACTTCCAATCCTGATTGATTTCTAAATCCAAAGGAGTTTCCATTCTTATTGCTTCCTGATTTGTAGCCCCCACTTACCCATATTCATACCTTGGCATTGAACCACACCTCTGCACAACAAATAGACCCTGAAACAGCCCAACCAGCCGCACCTAACACCTTATTACCTAGACAGCCGCACAACAAACAACAAACCAGTTTCCTAACAAAACCACCGCCCACTAGCATTTGCTTCCACTTTCGGTTACAACACCTTGTGAGCAGATATCAACTACTATCAAGGGCAACCTGACCCATTCTTGCACATTCCCCACAGAACCAATTCCCCATAAAATCATCAGCCAAGCCCAAGGCAGCCGTAACACAAAAAAACAAAACAAAATTCCAGCAAGCCAAAGTCCATTGAGTCATTTCAGCCTTGAGTCGTTTCTGGATTTGCCCATTGAGTTGTTCATTGAGTCCTGGTCAGTCTTGAGTCATTTATTGTGTCTTTCATTCTCTCCCATTCGAATGCCAAGCATTTGTTGACCTTGGTTGGTAAACGATCCAAAAAATCCAGCAACGCAAAAGGAACCAACTTCCTTGTCGGCTAGGTGTTTGAGCATCATTCTTCATTTTTTTGTAGCTTTTGTGTCAAGTCTTTTCTCGATTTTTATTCTTGAATATATTCTATCACTCCATTCTTAGTGTCCTAATTTTGTTTTTCCCGAAAATTTCCACTCTTACGAACCTCAAATTCTAGCGTGAACTTGATTTTTAAGCTAAATTTGAGCACTTGAGGAGCTCTACTTTCTTCAAGGTTTTGCAAGGGGCTGTGAGAAAATATTTTGGTGAGCCTATTAGAGTGATCTGAGTGACCATATACGAGTGTGAGAGAATACACTTAGGGAGTGAAGTGACAAAAAAAAATATTCACTTTTTTTCCCATTTTCCTTTTTTTTCCTTTGCTACTAACCCTTGCAGGTACACTTGAGACTCCATGTCTAGTGGAAACGAAGGAGTATCCTGTCCCATGAACTTTGAACAGATGATGGAACAAATGGAGAGGCGTGTCCAACGCATGCTAGAACCCATTCAAGATGAGTTGATGCAACTCCGAGCGTCTGGAACACCAAAAACCTCTAAGTCCATGCGAAGGCGAAGGGACGTGAAGGAGTCGTTCGATGGTTCCAATAATGATGATGATGATGAGGAACCTCGAATTCGACCAAGGCAAAGGAACCAGACTGGACCTACCGATGTATTCAAGGGAATCAAGATGCAAATCCCCGAGTTCAAAGGACGGTCCGATCCCGAGGCCTTTCTCGAATGGTTATCCAAGATCGAAATGGTCTTTTCTTGCCAAAACTACACCGAAGTGCAAAAGGTGCAATTGGCCACCATGGAATTCACTGAGTACGCTGTGGTTTGGTGGGACCAAATCAAGAAGTCTAGAAGGAGAAGTGGGCTACCTGAACTCATTCCATGGCCCGAGCTTCGAGCCATGATGCGGACCCGCTTTGTACCTGGACATTATACTAGGGATTTGTACCATCGATTACAAACATTGGTCCAAGGCAACCGGAGCATGGATGAGTACCATAAGGAGATGGAGATTCTGATGCTTAGAGCGGATGTACAAGAGGATCCTGAAGCCACCATGGCAAGATTCTTTAACGGATTGAGGCCCGATATTGCTGAACGAGTGGAACTTCAACATTATATGGAGTTACATGAGCTTGTAGACAAGGCTATTAAGGTCGAGCAAAGGCTCAAGAGGAGGGGTGCCACTCGATCGAATTTGGCAATACCACCTATTCTACCAACCGTCCATTCCAACCAAGGAATGATTCTCGGCCTTCGCCAAATGTTCCTACACCAAAGCCGAGATTCGAGGGAGGTAAGATGGGCAACCCTAGTGTTGGTAAACCACCCTCTTCTACTCCAAAATTCGAGGAGCCTAGGGCACAAACTAGGGCTCGTGATACTCAATGCTTCAAATGCCAAGGTAGAGGCCATATTGCTAGTCAATGTCCCAATCAAAGGACTATGATTATGATGCAAAATGGTGAGATCGTGAGTGAGGACGAAGCCGAGTACGAAGGCATGCCACCCCTTGAAGGAGGTAGTGATGGTGAGTCACCGAATGAAGAGGAATTTAGTGCACCAGAGGGTCACTTTGGGACTGCCTTGGTTGCAAGGAGAGCATTAACTGCACATGTTAAGGAGGACGAGCTGCAACGGGAGAACATCTTCTACACTAGGTGCTTCGTCAATCAAGCACTTTGTAGTGTGATTATTGATAGTGGGAGCTGCACAAATGTAGCTAGTTCCCTCATGGTGGACAACTTGAAGCTGCCTACGAGGGATCACCCGCGACCCTACAAACTCCATTGGCTCAACAATTCTGGGGAGGTTCGAGTAACCAAACAGGTTCTTATTTCCTTCCAAATTCATAAATATTCTGATGAAGTATTATGTGATGTAGTACCTATGCAAGCTAGTCACATTATACTAGGCAGGCCTTGGCAGTTTGACAGACAGGTGACTTTTGATGGTGTGACTAATAAGTATAGCTTCTTGTACAACAGTAAGAAAGTCACACTAGCTCCCCTTTCCCCCAAACAAGTGCATGAGGACAAAGTGAAATTGCGACAAGAGTTTGAGAAGTATAGTGCAAAAAGGAAAGAAAATGAGAGAGCCGAGGCAAAAAAGGAGAGGAAAAAGGCTATAGATAGCTCGGCAAGTGAGGTAAAAATTGAGGGAAAACAAATGCTCCTGATAAAAGCCAAGAAAGTGAGGAAGTTAATGAGAGATGAGCAGCCACTTCTTATGCTTGTTAGCAAAGAAGTAGCTCTGAATGTGCATGAACTTGATACTAACATACCTCTTGAGGTTAAGTCTCTGTTGCAGGAATATGCTGATATCTTCCCCGAGGACGTGCCAAGTGGATTACCACCGCTTAGAGGCATTGAGCACCAAATAGACTTCGTCCCTGGAGCTTCGTTGCCAAATCGGCCAGCTTACAAGAGCAACCCGGAGGAAACTAAGGAGTTACAAAGGCAAGTGGACGACTTGCTTGGCAAAGGATGGGCACGTGAGAGCTTAAGCCCGTGCGCTGTCCCAGACATTTTGGTGCCCAAGAAAGATGGTACGTGGAGAATGTGCACTGATTGTAGGGCCGTAAATGCCATCACGGTAAAGTATCGCCATCCTATACCTCGCTTAAATGACATGCTTGATGAGTTACATGGGGCTGTGTTCTTTACCAAAATTGATCTCAAAAGTGGGTACCATCAAATTAGGATTAAGGAGGGGGATGAATGGAAAACTGCCTTCAAAACTAAGTATGGATTGTAAGAGTGGTTAGTGATGCCTTTTGGGCTCACTAATGCACCTAGCACCTTCATGAGGTTAATGAACCATGTTCTGCATCCATTCTTAGGAAAATTCGTGGTAGTTTACTTTGATGATATCTTAATTTATAGCAAATCTTATGATGAACACCTCGAGCATATTAGGGCTGTTATGGATGTACTTCGACGAGAGCAGCTCTATGCCAATCTCAAGAAGTGTAATTTTTGCACTAATGAGCTTGTGTTTCTAGGGTTTGTTATAAGTGCACAGGGAATGAAGGTGGATGATCAAAAGGTGAAAGCTATTCAAGAGTGGCCAACACCAAGGTCTGTGGGTGATGTTCGAAGCTTCCATGGCCTTGCGGGTTTCTATAGGAGATTCGTGAGGGACTTTAGCACTATTGCTGCACCCTTGACCGAGTTGATTAAGAAGAATGAGAACTTCCATTGGGGAGATTCTCAAGAACAAGCCTTTCGCGCTTTAAAGCACAAACTCACACATGCACCTGTACTTGCTTTACCTGACTTTTCTAAGACATTTGAGATTGATTGTGATGCTTCAGGTATTGGAGTTGGAGCTGTGTTGAATCAAGGAGGAAGACCTATTGCCTACTTTAGTGAGAAACTCAATGGGGCTGCACTGAACTACTCAACTTATGATAAAGAGTTGTACGCCCTCATTCGAGCACTACAAGTTTGGCAGCACTACTTAAGGCCTAAGGAATTCGTGATACACACTGATCATGAGTCCCTTAAATACCTTAAGGCCCAGCACACCTTGAGCAAAAAGCATGCAAGGTGGATCGCATTCGTGGAGTCCTTTCCGTATGTAATTAAATATAAGGCTGGTAAGTCTAATGTGGTTGCGGATGCACTCTCACGAAGGTACTATCTACTCACTTCCTTAGATGCTAAGTTGTTAGGGTTTGAGCTGATTAAAGACATCTATGCCCAAGATAGTGATTTCGGTGAACTTTACCTTTCTTGCAAACACACTGGGCAAGGTAAATTCTTCATTTCCGATGGTTACTTGTTTTATGCCAATCGGCTTTGCATCCCACATGGATCCATCCGCGAACTTTTGGTACGAGAATTCCATTCGGGTGGCCTTATGGGACATTTTGGGGTTGATAAGACTCTTGCCATGCTGCAGGAGCACTTCTATTGGCCGTACATGAGGAGAGATGTTGCACGGGTGGTGGAGCGATGCTTAGCTTGTAAGAAAGCTAAATCCAAGGTACACCCGTATGGCCTTTACACCCCGTTACCTATTTCTAGTGCACCATGGGTCGATATTTCTATGGATTTTATACTTGGTTTGCCTAGATCCAAGTATGGCCATGACTCCATTTATGTGGTAGTTGATAGATTCTCTAAAATGGCACACTTCATTGCATGTCATAAAACTGATGACGTATCTCATATTGCTAACTTATTCTTTAAAGAGATTGTGAGATTGCATGGCATTCCTAGGACCATTGTCTCTGACAGAGATGTCAAATTTCTGAGCTATTTTTGGAAGACACTCTGGTCTAAGTTAGGCACCAAATTGCTATTCTTTACTGCCAGCCACCCCCAAACTGATGGTCAAACTGAGGTGGTAAATCGTACATTAGGTACCTTGTTGCGTGCCATCATCAAAAAGAACTTGAAATCATGGGAAGAGTGTTTACCTCATGTTGAGTTTGCTTATAATAGGGCTATCCATTCTACTACTGGTTTCTCTCCATTTGAATGTGCTTATGGTTTTAATCCACTAACACCACTTGATCTAGTGCCATTACCTAGTAATGAGCGCGCACATTTGGATGGTAAGAAACGTGCAGAGTTTGTTCAGCAACTGCATGAGAAAGTCAGGGCTAACATTGAGAGGAGAACTGTTCAATATGTCAAGCAAGCTAACAAAGGTCGCCAAAAGTTGATTTTTGAGCCTGGCGATTGGGTGTGGTTGCACATGCGCAAAGAATGCTTTCCTGTTCAAAGGAGGAACAAATTACAACCACGGGGTGATGGACCTTTTCAAGTGTTGGAGCGTATCAATGATAACGCCTACAAACTTGACCTTCCTGGTGAGTATGGAGTTAGTGCTACATTTAATGTCTCTGACTTAGCTCCTTTTGATGCAGATGATGCGTTTGATTTGAGGGCAAATCCTTCTCAAGAGGAGGGGAATGATAGCATCATGGTACGTGGGCAGGCCAACAATGGCTCGGGTAATCGAGGAGCTGAGGATCACGTGCTCTCCCCAAGTGGACCCATTACTTGGGCTCGCGCAAAAAAACTTCGCGAGCAACTCAATGTACTTATTCAGGCCATACACAAGTCCTTTGAAGGATTCATACATTCAAGTGAAGGTGGTCGCGGTCCGATAATGAGCATTGAAGCGACACCTGAGGATTAGGGTTTTTTTTTCCAAACCCTAATTTCCGTTTTAGCATCATAGTTAGTTATTTCCACATTAGTTGATTAGATTGAATAATTGGCTAAGTGCATATTGCACATAGAATCGCCAAGGGTAGGATTGCTAATTTACTCATTACTATTTGCTAGAGTGGGCTGCCTAGGAAGGAAAGCCACGTGAGGCCCAATCCGTCGGGGGTTTGGCCTCCCTTATTAGGGCCCATATCCACTACACCCTTAGTCCATTTTCTTACTAGATTAGGTTTTTCACTTGTAGCCTATATAAGACACCATATTACATCAATAGAGGGAGACACTTTTATGATAAAAATATTGAGAGAGTTTTCCCCATAGCTTTCGAGCAAACCTTGAACAACTTAGAGTTATACTCTAGTGTTCTTGTTCGGCTTATCAATTCAAGAATCGCACTTGAATTGTGGCGCCTTCTACACTTGCCTGAGGTTCACTAATTCGTTTGATTACGGGTTGAGATAGTATCAACAAGTTCGTAGTCACGGGGATTAGAGGGGTCGTAGGGTTTCCGCGGCCACCGTTTCTTGCACCCAACGTGAAATCCAACAAGCGATCTTGGGTCGCGAATCTTCTCACCAACGAGATTCGTATCAAACTCGCAAAGTGTCCAAGTGACTTCGGGATGGAACATGCCATGACCAACTCTACTTGACTTTGTTTAATCTGCACAAACGAAGAGATACTAAACAAAATACATGTTAGCCGGTTAGCAAACAAAATGTTCACACTTTCAGCCTTTGTAAACACGGTCAACCCCTCCTCTTTACTCTTCACTAAGGCCAAATTATTCTTGCCTTTTCCCATTCCATCCTTCTCAGGCCATTGCTCACTCATTGTACATGAGATTTGATTTTCATTGTCTAGTTCATGTTCATGGCTCGGTTGCAACTCATTCATATTTGGCTCTTCAATCAACGAGGAACTAGAATGAAATTTTCCTTTATTAGCACCGCTTGACACATGATTAAGTTGCTCCAAGTGTGAATCCAGCATTTGGCTAATTCTTTCCATCATAGAATCAACCAATGCTTTACTCTGACCTCGGAAATTATCGCTTAATCTTGGAACCCCTCCTCGATCAACGCGTTTCGAGACATGTAGCACGTTTGCCCAAGGATCTAGCGAGGTTGTCCAACGTTTAGTTTGCAGATCCCAAAACCAAGACGGACGACATGACTTGATTGAAGGCGGTAGAACGACGACTCCAAACAAAGTGAATACTCAAGTGGATAGGTCGGATGAACAATCAAGGACAATCACGAGATTGCTCAAGAACCCTTGCCAAAGCAAGTAAAGGATTCGAATCTCTCAATAATTGAAGAGAAACACAACAGAATTTTATTATCAAAAGTGTCTAACCCTTAACCCATACAAAGTGAGCCTTCTTATAGGCTAAGGACTACGAAACCCTAATGACTAAGTAGGAGAAAGGGTCGGCCACCCTTGGCTTCAAGTGGGCCGAGTTTACCTTCAACTAAGGACAATACTAAACGCTAAAAGCTAAAAGCCTGGTCGGCCATCCCCACATATGTGGCGACTTGACTCTTCATGGGCTTGGATCATCGTGCAGACAAGTTGATTATCACCTTCCAAACCATCAATGTCCCTATGGACTCCTTGTTGATCTTGAACACTGCATCTTGGGTTTGAACCACTTGGAGTCCAAGGAAGAAATTTAATTCTCCCATCATGCTCATTTCAAACTCTTTTTACAATTGGAAAAATCCTTGCACAAGCTCTCATTAGTAGCACCGAATATAATATCATCCGCAAATATTTGCACAATTAAAAGATCACGTGAACTTTGCTTAGTAAAAAGAGTAGTATCCACAATACCTCTTTTAAAACCATTTTCAATCAAAAAATCACTCAAACGTTCATACCATACTCTTGGAGTTTGTTTTAGTCCATACAAAACTTTTGAGAGTTTAAATACATGATTTGGATAAATTTCATTTTCAAAACCAAGAGGTTGATCAACATAAACTTCTTGATCAATAAATCCATTTAAGAAAGCACTTTTAACATCCATTTGAAATAATTTAAAGTTCTTGAAACATGCAAAGGCCAAAAACATTCTAATTGATTCCAGCCTAACTACGGGTGCAAATGATCCATCAAAATCAATTCCTTCTTCTTGAGTATATCCCTTGGCTACAAGTTTGGCCTTATTTCTTACTACCTCATATTTGTCGTTCATTTTGTTTCTAAAAACCCACTTTGTGCCAATGATAGAATGATCTTTTGGTCTAGCAACTAATGTCCACACCTTGTTCCTTTCAAATTGATTTAACTCCTCTTTCATAGCTAAAATCCAGTTCTCACCTTTCAAAGCATCAATGACATTTTTGGGTTCAAAGTGTGAAACTAATGCAAAATTATCCATTAGTTGTTTAGAGGAGGAACGAGTTCTGACCTTCTCAGATGGATCACCAATGATGAGCTCCTTAGGGTGGTTTTGAGCAAATTTCCAAACTCTTAGAAGATCGTTAGGTGCACTATTGTCTCTGTCACTGTCTTCCCTTGCTGGACTGTCTCGAGTTTCATCTTCCTTTGAATCATTTTCTGGTG